ACTTTCCTGTGTGTTTAGTACCCTTTCATTTCCCTTTAGCATTTTCTTAAAAGGCTGATCTAGCGGTGATTAACTCTGGCTGTTTTTCTTTGTCTGAGAAGGTCTATCTCTCCATGATTTCTGAAGGACAGCCTTACTGGATATAGCACTCTAGGTTGAAGTATTCTAGGTTGGCAGGGTCCCCCTTCCATCATTTTGAATATATCATCACCCTATCTCCTAACGGCAAGTATTTATCTGAGAAATCTATTCATAGTCTTAGAGGTTTATTGAACATGACAAGTTGTGTTTCTCTTGCTGCTTTCAAAATTCACTCCTTGTCTTTGACTTCTGAGAATTTTATTATAATGTGTCTTGGTAAAGATCTCTTTATATTTAATCTATTTGTGGTTCTTTTAGTTTCACTTTCCCTCTCTAGATTTAGGAAGATTTTTGGCACTACTTCTTTAAATATGTTTTCTGTCACTTTTTCTTGCCTTGCTCCTTCTGAGACTTTCATTTGCTGTTGAAACTCTCTATGGAATTTTTCAGTTTAGTCATTGTGTTCTTTAGCTCCAAAATTTCTTGCTTAACTTCTTGTTTTGTTTGTATAATTATGTACTGTGTTCTCTTGCAGTTCTTTGAGCTCTTTAAGAAAATTATTTTGAATTCTGTGTCAAATAGAGCTCCATTTCTTTCTTTCTTTTTTTGCAGTTTTTGGCCAGGGCTGAGTTTGAACCCGCCACCTCCAGCATATGGGGCTGGCCCCTACGCCTTTGAGCCACAGGTGCTGCCCATAGAGTACCATTTCTTTAGGGTAGGTTACTGTTGCCTCCTCCCCCCTCCATTGGTGGTTTTGTGTTTCCTTGATTATTTGTGATCCTTGTGGCCATGTGTTAGTGTTGGCACATTTGAAGAAGTAGGCACCTGTGCCAGTCTTTACATGCTGGGCTCATCAGGAAAAGCTCTTCATCAGTCAGGTGCAGAGATTCTGAGCAGGCTATCCAGTCAGGTCAATTGGTGACCTTTCTTCTGGAGTCCTCAGACAGGCTAGCCTGGTGCCTTGTTCACTAGGTAAATTGGCCATCAATGTCTGAGGGTTCTAATTTTTATATTTATTTGAAAGTTTTATCATCTGCTTTTTAAATGATACCATCTTAGTGGGTGTTTGCTGGTATCTCACTGTGGTTTTAATTTGCATTATCCTAATAACTACAATTTTAGCATCTTTTCACTACTTATTGGTCATTTGTATATTTTCTTTGGAGAAATATCTTTTCAATCCTTTGTCCATTTTTAAATTGGGTTATTTGTCTATTTACTATTGAGGTTTAAAATCTCTCTATATATTCTGCATATGAGATCTTTATAAGAGCTGTGATGTACAATTTTTTTTTCCTATTCTGTGGATTGTCTTATCACTTTATTGATAGTGTCCATTGAAGCACAAAAATTTCTAATTTTTTGATGTCCAAATTTACCATTTTTTTCTTTGGTTACTTGTGTGGTAGTACATATTTAGCCTGTATTTGCTAACTAACTTAGCTATTTACATTAAGAATGAGACTGAGGCATTGTCACCACTGTGTGCTGAGCCAAGGGTGAGCACTACCAGTGGTACTATGCTCTGTGAGCAGTTTATACTTGAAATTTTCAAAGAGGGCTGTGTCATGGATTGAACTGCATGTGGCAGAGTATGTTGAAGTCCTAACTTCCAGTCTCTGCGAATGTAATCTCATTTAGAAATAGACTGCTTGTAGGTGTGATCAATTAAGATGAGGTCATGTCCTTATAAGAAGAGAAAGCATTGGACCTAGACGTGCACAGAGAGGACACCATACGAAAACCCAGACACAGAAGGGAGATGGCCATGTGACAACAGAGATAAAAATTGGAGTTATGCTGCTATATGCCAAGGAAGGCCTGGGGCTACCAGATGCTAAAAGAGGTAAGGAATGATTCTTCACTAGTGGTTTTAGAGGAAATATAGTTTTGCTAACACCTTTATTTTGGATTTCTAGACTCCAAAATTTTGAGAGAACAAATTTTTGTTGTTTTAAGACACTCATTTTGTGGTACTTTGTTATAGCAGCCCCAGAAAACTTTAACATTAAGATTTATTCTCTCACACAATTGTTCCCTAGCCTTCCCTTTCTTCCGGTGATGTCTACTCTAGGTTAGGGCTATTCGTGTGCTTTGACCACACTTTTCCCCATTTTCTGCCTTCCCACCCAGTGAATGCCACACTTTTCTTATATGCAGTGCCTGTTTCCAGCAAGAATATAGATTTTCCCCCTAATCATATACTACTGATTGGTATCCTCTCTGTGCACATCTAGGTCCAATGCTTTTGTTCATTTCAATCAGGAGTTAAACACCTATGTCCAAGCCTTTTAAAAGTAGATGGCAATAGCCTAGTTGTCCTTTCTGACATGTGACTAGATGGTAGTATTGCTGAGTAAAGAGATATTTCTGCTAACTCACCCTTTATCACACGAATAATTGATTTGGGATCCAAGAAGGCTATCTGTGATCACATGCACCATGCCATTCAGAGGATCTAATGGAATTTTACATGGTTTACCTATGAGAAAGAAACAGAATTTTGGAGCTTGGTAGAATAATCTGAACTTTTTTCAGCATACAAAGTAGCTTACTGAAAAGCATGTGCAGCTCTGATGATCATCACTTTCATAAAAACTTCCTTTCTAGTTCTGTCTCATACTCACAGTATCCCTCCCAGACAAGTTTAAACTTTATTTATTACCAAAATTTTATCCATAATTCAACCAATATAACTGAAAGATATCAAAGCCTGAAATTGTCCCATCTTCTAGTCTTTTTATTATACTTCTCTTTTCCGTCTGATTCCCTCATTATTTAATTTTAGTCATGAAAATGGGAGACCCCTAGAGAATGGGGATTTTCTCTCAATCATGCCTTGTGATGGTTGTTTCTCTTGAAATGACGTTACCAGGCAGTCAAAGCAGTAAGAAGATATGATCTACAAGAATAACTCTCACATGCACTATATCTTGGGCAAATTTATTGTTATATGTATCTCAGGTCCAAAGTTTGAACAAATTGAATGAGAGCTTACAGATGCTTGACACAGAGGAGTTCCCAGTCCAGAGTTACTTACGTTTACACCAGTCCTTAACTTCTGTCCAGACTGAGGTTTTTAGGCAGGTGATAGAAAACTGTTTTCCAGAATAACCAGGGCGGCATTGATACTTCAAAGTTGTCCCAATGGGAAACTCTGACGTATCAGTTAATTTGATAGGCCTGGCAAATGGTAACCATTCTGGGGCACTGCATTGACCTGGATAGAGATCAAGACCAAAGAAACAGCATTAATGGGAAAAATTCCTTTCTACTGCTTCCTTCTCTCTAGTATATTTCATAAATGTGATTTTTTAAAGGAAAAAGAACATTTCAATAATGGAAAACAGGTTTATTTCCTTATAAGTGACCTTAGAAATAAGCTCTTAAAAAAATCAACATCCACCTATTAAAAAGTCCCTGCTATTTGGAAGGCAATTAAGCTATTTATATAGTGTTTCACTGAAGGAGAAACTTCAGTTCACAGTTTCCCATTTTAGTTAATCAGGAAGTGCCTGTCCTTGGGCTTTATCTATCCTACCCTCATTTATCTTTATCTCCTACAACAACATGGACTCACGCATTTTACCATCAATCTCCCATCTCTGGTGGTGCACACAGAGATAGTGGGACAACAAGCCTCCTCTCTGTCCCTCGGTGGCCATTGCCACTGTCGAAAGTCTGTTGCCAAACGGTCATTTCAGCACGAGAGAAAGCAGACAATGCTCAACAACTAAATCTACACTTCTCTTTATGAGAGCTTGTATTTTTCTGATATGTATTTCACATTGAACTCTAGACTCAGCTAGGCCACTTACAGTCTAGTAGATATAAAGTAGTACAATAGCAGAAGTAGTACAATAGCAGAAGTAGTACAATAGCAGAATCAAACAACATGTAATCAAAAAGAAGTATCTGTTGGAACATATACTGTAACTTTAGTTCTGGAACTCTCTTTTGTTTTGTTTTATTTAATAGCTGTTCCTTCCTGCTACTGATCGATTCAAATTATGAAGAGTAGATTAAAGCCAGAAATCGTTTTTTTAGACTTCAAAGAACTAAATTTGGCTTTGTTGATTTTGCTCATATTTTTATTTTATTTGTTGCTCTTTTTTTTTTTTTTTTGAGACAGAGCCTCAAGCTGTCCCCCTGGGTAGAGTGCCATGGCATTACATCTCATAGCAACCTCCAACTCCTGGGCTCAAGCGAGTCTCCTGCCTCTGCCTCCCAAGTAGCTAGGACCACAGGCGCCCGCCACAACGCCCGGCTATTTTTTGGTTGCAGCCATCATTGTTGTTTGGCGGGTCCGGGCTGGGGATTCGAACCCACCACCTTAGGTGTACGTGGCTGGCGCCTTAGCCGGTTGAGCTATAGGCGCCGAGCCTGTTGCTCTTTTTTTAAAAAATATTTCTTTAGCTGATTACTGAGATTTTAAAAAATTTGTCATTCTGTCATAGTTTCTAGAATAAACATGTCAGACTATTATTTTATTCTAAGCATAGATTTAGGAGTATTCTTCAAGTTTTGGGTAGTTTAAAATATTTGATAATTGCCATTATGATTTCTTCATCAACCCATGGTTTTTAAAGAAGTGTGTTGCATGATTTACAAACATCTGTGGTTTTTTTAGCTCTGTATTTTTTATCCATTTTTGAAATTCATCAAGGCTTGGTTTTTGGCTTAGCATACAGTCAGCTGCAGTAATTGCAGCATGTGCACTTGTAAAAATTGGGTGTTCTGCAGTAGTGGTGTAGTGTTGATGTCTCACTGAGGTCCAATCATGTTTGTTCAAATCTATCTACTTACTGATTTTTTTCAGGTTTCCTTGTTCTATTAGGTACTGAAAAGAATTTGCTGAAATATTCCATTTTATTGTAATTTGTTTCTTTTTCTAATTTTGTCCAACTCTTGTTTTAAATATTTTGAGGTTATGTTATAAGATTCATAAATATTTTAATTGCTATATTTTGTGGTAGAAGGACCCTTGTATCAAAATAAAATATCTCTTTTGCTAACAATGAACTTTGCCTCAAATACTTTACTCTTATTTGTGGGACAAATAATAAATAATAAGATGGTAGATTTATTCACAGATGTATAAATAATTATTTTAAATGGACAATGGTTCCCCTTATGCTCTGAAGATAGTTTGGGAGGCCTCCAGTGGATGCCTGAAACCACAGATACTACCTCAGTCAGAACACGTTTCTGTTCATGTCATCCATCCACATTTTTAGTGATTTTTCCATCTTAACTAAGCACTGTGGCTGTAACTTTTGCAGTTTGAGGTGTGAGAATAAAACTTGTACAAATTTTGTTTTCTTTCTTTACAATTTCGTAGATAAATGATTCATTCTTACCATAAACACGTTTTTTCCTTTCCTTATTAAGTGAGGAACTGAAGAATTTCCACCTTTTCACTTAAAGGAAGCTATGTAGATACTGCAGGGTGTTTGTTGGACTGTATTTATTTACTACTAACTAGACCCTAATGAAAATTGACTACCCCACTAGGCATAGCTAAAATTTTTACAATCTATATAGAAAGATGTGGTGGGCTAGGTAAAGACTTCCTAAAGATATCCATGCCTTAATCCTTTGAGTCTGTAAATGTCACCTTTAATAGTAAAAGGGATTTGCAGATGTGTTAATCTTGAGATGGGCAGAGTATCATGGATTATCTGTGTGGGCCCTGTCATCTAAAGGGTCTTTATAAGAGGGAAGGCCAGGAGACTCAAAGGAGACAGAAGAAGACGGTTGGAAAATGCCCTGCTGCTAGCTTTAAAGGTAGAACAAGGAAGCCATGAGCCAAAGGATGTCAAGAATGGAAGGTGGAATGATCAAGGAAACTCCTTCTCCCCTGAGCCTCCAGAAGTAACACATCCTTATAGATCTATTTTAGATTTTAGATTTTACTTGAGGATCCTCTGACCACAATGGAACAAGACTAGAAATTAATAACAAGAGAAACATTGGAAACTATACAAACACATGGAAATTAAGCAATATTCCCCTGAATGACCAGTGGATTAGTGAAGAGATTGAGAAAGAAATTAAAACATTTATTGAAACAAATTAAAATGAAAATACTACTTATTAAAACCTCTGAGATAGGCCAGGCACAGTTGCTCATGCCTATAATCCTACCACCCTGGGAGGCTAAGGCAGGTGGATCGCTTGAGGTCAGGAGGTAAAGACCAGCCTGAGCAAGAGCAAGACCCTGTCTCTACTAAACATAGAAAAAGTAGCTGGGGATTGAGGCAGTTGCCTGTAGTCCCAGCTATTAGTGAGGCTCTGGCAGGAGGGTTGCTTGAGCCCAAGAGTTTGAGGTTGATGTGAGCTACAGTGACACCATGGCACTCTACTCAGGTTGATAGAGTCTCAAATAAATAAATAAATAAATAAAATACCTTTGAGATACAGCAAAAACTGTAATAAGAGGAAAGTTTATAACAATAAATGCCCATGCCAAAAAAGTAGAAAAGCTTCAAATAAGCAACTAATGACACATCTCAAAGAACTAGAATAACTAGAGAGAACCAAACACAAAATTAGAAGAAAATAAATAAAGATCAGAGCAGAAATAAATGAAATTAAAATCAAAAGAATACAAAGATCAACAAAATGAAAAGTTACTTTTAAAAAAAGGTAAACAAGCCTGTAGTCCCAGCTACTTGGGAGGCTGAGGCCAGAGAATTGCTTAAGCCCAAGAGTTTGAGATTGCTTCCAGCTGTGACAGCACGGCACTCTACCCAGGGTGACAGCTTGAGACTTTGTCTCAAAAAATAAAAATAAATAAAAAAATAAACAAAAAGAGAGGAGACCCATATAAATAAGATCAGAGATGTAAAGGAGACATTACAACTGACAGTGCAGTAATCCAAAAGGTCATAGAGACGACTACAAGCAACTATATGCCAATAAATTGGAAAACCTAGAAGACATGGATAAATTCCAGGATACGGACAACCTACTGAGTTTGAACCAGGAAGAAATCTAAAACTGAATAAACCAATAAGTATCAAGAGTCTAACAAGTATTCAAAGAAAAATGAGGTTTGATCTTATTAAAAAATTTGAGTGGTGGGGGGAATACTTCTAAACTCATTCTACAAGACCCATATTACCCTGATACCAAAACCAAACAAAGACACAACAACAACAACAACAAAGAAAACTATAGGCTCATATCTGTGATGAATATAGATGTAAAAATCCTCAACAAAATACTAGCAAACCAAATTCAACAACACATTAAAAAGATTATTCACTATGAACAAGTGAGATTCATCCCATCTTTGAACCCACGCATGAACTCTTGCAAGTATGGCTCATCAACGGGATCAGTATGATCCATCATATCCACAGAATGGACAGAAGGACAAAAATCATATGATCATTTTAATTGATGTTGAAAAGAATTCAATAAAATTCAACATATCTTCATGATAAAAACTCTCAAAAAACGGGTATAGAAGGAACTTGCCTCAACGTGATAAATAGAATGAACAATATTAGATAGCACAACAAAGTGACTATAATAAACAATATGTTATGATATACTTAAAAATGATTAAAAGAGTCGAATCACAAACATATGGTAAATGTCTGAGGTGATGAATACCCAAATTATTCTGATTTGATTAATTCACATTATATGCCTGATTTGATTAATTCACATGTATCCTACTAATATACACAACTATAATGTATTCATTATAATTATATATATTTTTTGAGACAGAGTCTCACTATGTTACCATTGGTAGAGTACCTGGCATCACAGCTCACAGCAACCTCAAGCTCTTGGGCTTAAGTGATTCTCTTAACCTCCCAAGTGGCTGGGACTATAGGCCCCCACCACAATCCCTGGCTATTCTATTTTTGTTGTTGTTGTAGCTGTCATTGTTTAGCAGGCCCAGGCTGGGTTCAAGCCTGCCACTCTCAGTGCATGTGGCCAGTGCCATAATCACTGTGCTATGGATGCTGAGCCTATAATTAAAACTTTTTTAACTAAAAAATAAAAAAAACCTTTTAAAAAATTTAAACAGTTTAAAAAAGCTTATATATGTGTGCCTCCTTGTTGAGGAGGAGGAGATTTTCAACTCCACTATTTTCTTTTCTGTTGGAGTTGGCCTTATTAGAATTATCTTCATCCAGTATTTCTGTACAGGACACTTTTGGAATTACTTATATAAACTTGAAGTTCATTTAAGATTAAAATAGATAATATAAACTGCAAATCCACTCATCTGAGCATCTGTAAATTTAAATATATCGCAGAGCACAAAAAGCATATTGCAACTCACATTCTTTTTACCTTGTCTCTTTAACAGAACAGGACCCAACAGGAGTACCACGTGAGGGCGCCAGAGTCCACCCTATATTAAACACTGTCCTCAGTGTTTAATTAGTGGGCTATTTTCATGGCTCAGAATTTTATGTAATTCCATTTTCTCTCCTTTATTAGTCTGTCCATTATATTTCTCTTTTCACTTTTTTCATTCATTGCACTAGGGTTTGAAACTTGTATATTTGCAACTAATCCAAGTCCACTCCCAAATAACACTATTCTACTTCATGGATAATGCAAGTACCTTATCATAACAAAATAATCCTAATTTCTCTGATGGTTTTTATATAAAAATAAATATCCCCATACATCATCATATAAAAGTTTTTGGGAATCTACTCTTTAAGTACTGCTGAGGCCATGCTCCTTCCACTGAGCCTTATCTAGTTATTAGCACTAAAATTTCTCCCTTTTCAGGGATCTTGCAAGTAGTCTTGCATGATCCCTTAGTCATGGTCTCCTAGATATTCTTGGGGAATTTCAGATTATGAAACATTGTCATGAGCACTACCTCATCTAATTTTCACAAGAACACTCTTAGAGAACAGAGTGGACACTGAAGGTCAGAGGGGTGAGTTGCCTTGCTGGGTCCAAGGCTCCAGCTACTAAATAGCAGAGGCTGGGAAAATCAGAACTCCAGCCTCCTGATTAAGATGTCGTAAAACTCCACCACCGACTTCTATCTGCATACACTTTGGAGGCATAGCTCTCTCTTGCACTTCTTTTAAATTCCAAAGTATGGTGCACACTGGAGGCATTCTATTAGCATTTTTACATTTTAAATTATTTCAGCAACTGCACTAGTAGATAGTTTAAGATGTTTCATATTCGGAGATTCTTGTGATAACCTCAATGAATTTTTTTTTTTTTTTGCAATCAATGGTGTCTGAAATGGTTTTTAACAGTAACTTTATAAACATGAAAAGACTACAACAACATCTCAGTAAGAAGGGGGCCAGACACTCAAAAGGATGCCAAAAATACCTAAGCATTGACAACAGATTGGCTTAACTTACTTTTAAAAGTAAGTTAAAAATATTTTAAAAATAAAATGTTATCACATCTGTTAGTCTGACAGGTTAGTGTTTGCTGTCTAAGGAGATGAAATATGAATAACTTTTGCAGAAACTTGGTTGTTTTTTTCCTTACTCTCTATCTTGGAAGAGAGGAACAGCCAAATAATAAATGCAAAATGTGGCAGAGAAGAGCAAACCTGACTTGTCAGGAAGAGGCTGAACAAAAATAATCCAGACTGTCGCTTCAGCTGAGATGCTGCTAAGGAGTCTAAGCAAGATGTTTACCTGTTTGGCATTAAAAGAAAGGAAAAGAAGATGCAGCCACACAATTTCCACAGAGGTAGAATAGACTTTGTTTTGTATTAAACATCACTTCATTGCCATATGCAAACGTCTTTCCTGTCCCTTCTACCTGCACTGCTTACGCTGAGCCCTCTGGACCTGGGCTTGTTCTTCTAACCCCCGTGTCTTGCTTGAAGTCTGTCTTAAAGTAGGCTCTCAATTCAGTGCACGGTGAGGACAGTGGTGTGCTTGGGGGTAGGGTGTGAGTGTTGTCGGATTAGAGCAGTTTTCAGCTGATAACTGCATCCCTAGGACTGCTTGTCTAAATACCTGGGGTGCCAAGCACAGAGGTAATGATTGGAGGAGAGAAACTGATTCCATCACAGGTACTGTGGTTAGACACACCATATGCCATCTAGGTGACAACACCATGGTACACGTATATCAGTTCCTATTTTACAGATGAGGAAACAGACCCAGCCAGGTGTATTAACTTCCCTAACAGTTAAATTTCTAGGATTAGAACCCTGATTTTTCGGATTCTCTAACCTCCTCTCTTTCACCATCATCAGTGCCACACTCTGCTACAGCCAGTCCAGACCGAATACACAGAGCAAAGAATCCCTGCCGCGGCGCCGGCTCAGCTACTGAGCGCTCCTCTGCGCCCTGCAGATGGGAACTCCACGCTTACTCTGGGGCAACCACGGTCTCGGGTACCCACAGGGATCCCAGACCTGCCCTTCCTCCTCCAGGGCTTAGCCCACCTGCGGCACTGTCAGGGCGCACCTGCGTGCCCGCTCGGCGCACGCGTCCGCGCTGGAGCTCCTGCTGACCCACCCGCCCGGGCGCCTCCCCACGCCCGCCCCGGGTCTCACCCCAGGCCGCCGGCAGCGCGAGCAGCACCAGAACCGCCAGCCGGGCTCCTCTGCAGCAGAAGCGGAGAAGGGGCGCCGGCAGCCCGACAGGCTCCGGGATCCTCGGAGAGGACCCCATCCTCCCCAATCACATCTAAGACCAGATATCATCTGGAGGAAAGAATGCAAAAAAAAAGAGGAAAGCGCAGCGAAAAGAAAAAAGACCAATTATTAGGCTGGACGACGCCCAGTGACTGGGGGAGGGCTGCGGGTTCCGGGACAAAAGCTTTTTGACCACAGCTTCCTCTTCGTGGGCAAGGTCTTGTTTACAGCCCATTTGCGTTGTCTCTAAGCAGTTTCGCTCCCCAGAGCTCACCTTAGGGACCCAGGTGCAGCGGCGAAGCATCACAATGCTTCAGCGCCCTGATAGATTCTGCTGCGAGAAGGACCTTCCAGACGCAGGCGGTGGATTATCGCATATTGCAGCTGGTTCTGCGCGCCAGGCATGACTTTTCCCCTGAACAAGTTTCCGTGTGGGTGGATCAGCTAACAGTGTTTGCTCTTTGTGTTCAAAGACAATTGGAGGCGCTGTGTTCAGGGAATATATGAAGAACCAACCTGGACGGAGACAGGCCAAGCCATTGAAAGATTATTTTTCAAACGGGGATGACTTAATCAGATTTGCATTTTAAAAATAAAATTCTGTGTATGGAGACTAGCTGAGGATCCAGGTAACAATAGATGAGGAAGACCGGTAAGGAAGTTCTCGCCATCATCCAGGCGAGGTTTGAGGTTGGCTTTGTCTGGGTTGATAAAGTGGACAGTTACAAAGATACTGGAGATGGAATGGACAGTATTTGCTCGTGCATTGGATTCTGGCTACTTCCTTTTTTAAAGTTGGTGGTGAAAAAAGAATCAAGAGTCGGCCCCAGGATAAAAGGTGAATGGTGGTACTACTTATAAAAACAAATTATGAGAGAGTGACAGATTTAGGGGAGGGGGTTAAGAATTCCAGGATGAACTTAGTCCTCCTATCTAGCTGTAACCCTGTACCCTTTAAACAATCTCTCCCTCTCCTCTGCCCCTTCCCAGACTCTGTACCCACTATTCTGCTCACTTAAACAATCTCTCCCTCTCCTCTGCCCCTTCCCAGACTCTGTACCCACTATTCTGCTCGCTACCTCTATGGGGTCAGCTTTTTTTATATTCCACATATGAGTTATATATTTGGCTTTCTGTGTCTGGCTCACTTCACTTAATATAATGCCTTCCAGGTTCATGGCCACAAATAACAGGATCTCCTTCTTCCTGGTGTATATACGTGTATATCACATTTTCTTTATC